CTTTCATAATACCCAAGTTATGGATACACATATAGCCCTTACGGATCACCTGTCGATGCAATCAAAAGCAAAACACCAATCAAAACATTATTTCGACGCCAACTAAGCGTCTGAAACACATATCTAAGGAACAGACAAATCGCAAGACAGAGAAAAACAACAACTCTTACCCCAGTCTGAGGGCAACGCCGCGTCATTAAAAAAATTTTGGACAATAATTAAGACAAAGCGGCGCACAATTTGGTTATATTTATATCAATATATGTTCACATCTTTTCTTTCAAACATTTACTGGTTTAACACATTTAACACTAAAATTTCAATTATAATCAATTAATCAAACAAAACGCTTGTAAAATTGATTCTCTAACAATTGTGGCAAAAACTAAATAATTTGCCATTTTGTGAACATATATTGACTAAATTAAAGCGACAGAAAGGGCTGGTTATGCTGACCTGATTGCCGAGCTTTCGTTTGCCTCCCTGTGTGTTCTCAGCCGTCTGCTGGGCATTCGTGAATCCAATGAAGTCCTCGTGATTGGTGTTCATATACGCCAACTCCACCTCAACCAACAGCAGGATCTGGTCTTTGGTCTTCTGTTCGCGTTCTCTGATGTGAGTTGTGATAATACGTTCGGTCTCTTCGCGTAGTCGCGGGTAACGAAGCATTTTCTCAGTACAGCGCCGGACAACGTTTCCCAACTCATTGATACAGAGGTCCACGCATTTCAGCGATGGTTCGCGTAGTTTTCCGATCTGTCTCTTGACGATCGCCTCGAAGGCCATGTCGGGCGTGAAGAGACCGACTCGTATGCCGTGAATGTTGCGAATGGCGAACGCTATCTCCCGGCGAAGCTCTTTCTCGTCGAACTCCATCTTCACGATCTCGAAGGGAAACCTCTCGTGAAAGAGTCGGTTAATACGGGCGCCGCCCGACAGCTCTGACGTGTTGATCGCCGCCGAACCGCTGCCTTCGATGTTGCGCTCGAAGTCCGTCTGCAGCTGTTGTATCATTTGCAACATGGCTTTGGTTTTGCGCGTCGGATCGTCCGGTCGATAGTTCTTGTATTCTTCCACCTGTAATGGCAAACATTGCAATCAATTTCAACGTAACATAAATACAACTGATAAGTGGACGGCATTTACATCTTTCTCAAGAATCAACATTTGTTTTTGCATTTTGTCTCTAAGAGCCGGAAGTGTATCCCTTATATGATTAGTCAACTGTTGATTGAGAACGCGTTGCAAATACGGAGTTCCCATTTTGTCGGCCATATGTCTGTACGAGGGATGGGAGAGGAAAAACTTGCGCTCCGAGTCGAGGGCCACACGAATGTCTTTCTTGCCCTCGATATCCCTTTGGGAACGATTGACAACTCCTATGTATCCGCGACGAAGAGGTAATAATTTATTTTCGAGAACATCTCTGGCATCGGTTCCCTCGTCCATCAAATCCAGTTTCGTGATTACGCCGATCGTTCGCAGACCCTCCGGATCCACTTCTTTGGATAACTTGAGCGCATCACTGGTGGCCAAGTCCTGGTTAGCGCTCGTCACCGATAGTATCAAACAGTTCTCTCGCTTTATGAATGTGAATATCATTTCCCGGATTTGGTTCTCTATATCGACCGGTTGGTCGCCCACAGGAACTTTGGTCATACCTAACACACAATTACATACCATTATTAGCTAATTGTGCTCTTTATTTCAATATAAACTTCAAAAATAGTATTAAAAAACAATAAACAGCTAATTATTGAGACAATTTTCCCATCAATAACTGCCTGAAGTGTGTTATAAGTTATAGAGAATAAATTACATGCAATTGTCTGTCATTCAAATTCAATAGAAAAATAGCTCTCAATTGTTTTAAATGGCAAACAATAGGCCACTAATGTATGCATAAAAATATTAGCCAAATATAACGCTTTTAAAGAGAGAAAAAATGAATAAATAAGTAGCAAATAATAATGGATGTGAGACCTGGAAGATCGATAAGTGTTAAGTTGAGTACATATGGAGAGTAGACGCGCAGATTGATGGGCACCGGAGAGATGCCTTTATTATGACCAGTGCTCTTCTCCGTCTCGTCTTCTATCTCTTTGCGGATTTCATCGAAATTTGTGAACTTCTTTCCCCTCACGTGTAGAAACTCTCCGTATTCTGCAATACAAGCCATACATTCACTTATCAATACATGTATTCAATTTCAATGTTATTATTGTTATTTATATGGGAATGCATTCAACGCTGGCAATCATTTTTTACTGTGTATTGAATGACAAGAATTGCGATAAAAAAACAAACAACTTATCCATAGATTTCTAATCAGTGAATCACACCTTCATTTGTGGGCAAAAGGGACGACAAAATAGGCAATAATTTGGGCGAAAATCTGAACTCATTATTACATCAAACAAAGCAATAAAACAAAAACTCAATTTAAAAAACTAGGGCTTAAACTATGGTTTCCTGAGAAATGAATGCCTGAATATATAGTAAACAAATAATTAGAGCACAAGATATACAAACCCATTGTGGAGTTGATTAGTTGGAGGACGAGTGGCCTTCGGGTGACAATACCGGACCCGCGGGGCAGGAAATCGCGGCCAACGAAGTTCTCCAATACCGATGACTTTCCCGCTGATTGTCCGCCAACGACAGCGATTTGTGGCAAATCTAATGCCATATTTACACCTGAA